GCAGGAGCTGACCCTTGACGATTGTCGAAGGTGAAGGATCTCTCGGAGTTGACGCGGCGGTCTTCTCCAGGGAGAGGAAGTCCAGCAACGCCACGTGCATAGCTTGAGCCGTCAACGCTCATTGCTTGATGGCTTTCAAGGGCGTTGATGCGTGCGACAAGCTCCTCAACGACAGCGGCGCTGACGGAGGTCACCGCTGATGGCGCGTTAGTCATTGCTGGTGGTGGGCCCGGTGAGTCTGCAGTAGCTTTTCCTTCAGGAGCCATAGTATTGCAGACTTTGAGGTGTAATAAATAACTTTATAAAGGGATTGTTCTGAGAAGAACGAGGACTTGACAGATCCTATAATCCACTTTAGCTCTCATACCATGCTGATATAACCAAGGATCCAGTAGATAGGATAGAATCTGTTAAGTCTGAGAGGAGACAATGAAGTCTCTGTGGTGACCTTGTTGAATAATAATTGAAAGAGAACAAGATGATTGAAAGATAAGAGTACAAGAGATTAAATAGAGATCTAGCTAGCCATGTACTCTGAGGGGTACATTCCCTTATTAACTGTATTGCATAGCTACAGTAACCGTGACTATTGCTATCCTCGACAGTTACCATGTTGCAGTGAATTAACTGTCGTGCGGTTACTGGATCGTCAAGGGTCTCGACCGTTGACTTCCTCAGACGGTTGACCTTCGGGTGACCCTCGACATTCCGCATGCTCTATATGAGCTATTGCGGTACTGGTACAGTGGAACAGCTTCGGGAATGCTTTATATAACCTTTCCGTTATTCCAACACTGTAGGCGGGGACAGTGGTGTACGCGCCGAATAAGGACGCAAAGTAAGGAAAAAGAAATTTCCTTACATAAGGGCTGCACCTGAAGAGTGTTATACGCGGTGAAGTCATGTGCGTATTTAGTATTAAATATTTCTCCTTACTCTGAAGAATACGCATTATATGGCAATTTACCTGAAAATAAGGTGACTCAACTGAAGAAGACTGAAGGATCTGGTCAAAATGTCTGTAAGAAATGCAAATTCCAGGGCGGATATACTTCGTTATGCAATATGTATGAGCGCCACATATAGATACCGTTCGTACGCAATAGGGAGGACACTGTTCCTGGCATGCATAATTGTTCCAGCATCAAATTAGCCGGCAGATTTTCATGAGGTCACTGACTGACAGTCGTGGTGCTATTATTTCTTAGTATAGTAGTCTCCCAATTAGTTTCCCTGCGGTTGTCGTATTCTTCCGCACCATGTACTCCCTATCAACCGCTCCGTCTGTAGCTGCTCGTTTTGCTCGCCTCCTTATGCTCCTATGCGTGCTGTTACCACTCGCCGTGTTCGCGACGAAGCCCAACGTCATACCGGGCGGCGTGCAGCAGATCGCCGACTTCGCGAACCGGGAGGACCTGCAGGCGTTGGCGGCGTTCGCCGTGGAGCAGCACAACGAGAAGGAGGTGCGCTGCGCTGCGCGTCGCTTCGGCGATGGCCAAAACAGAGCGCAGATTTAGGAGGCAGGGGAACGGGCAGGAGAAAGGGGTTGAGGGAGAGGAAATGGATATTAAGTGCCGAAGTGGTCGCAGCGTGTGCCGCCGTGCTTGTGCTCGACTGGTGCCTCCGCATGCGCTTCCGCTCCCCCCTTGCCCCTCCTGCTCCTGTCTCGCCTCGTTCAATCGAGGGGACGATCTGCGGTACACACGCGTACCTGCACGCGCCTGAGCGCGCGCCGTCTCCCGAACCGCTGCTGCCGACCGTTTTCGCATTTGCCCTTCGTTCCTCGCCCTTAATCCCCTCCCCGTCCTTTCCCCTTTCCCTCCTTCCCCCTTCCCCACTTCCCCCATCCCCCCTCCCCTTTCCCCCTCCCCCCCTCCCCCTTGGGGAGCGCAGGGCGCGGACCTGCACCTGGTGCGCGGGGAGAGCGCGCAGCAGCAGGTGGTGGCGGGCATCCTCTTCCACCTCACGCTGCTCGCCATCATTTCCCCCCTTCCCCCCTTCCCCCCTTGCCCCCTTCCCCCCTTCCTCCCTTCCCCCCTTCCTCCCTTCCCCCCTTCCTCCCTTTCCCCCTTCTCCGCTTCCCTCTTCCCCCCTTCCCCCCTCCCCCGCGTCCCCCCTCCCCCCCTCCCCCGCTTCCCCCGCCCTTCCCCCCTTCCCCCATCCCCCCCCGGAGGGCGCAGGGCGCGGACCTGCACCTGGTGCGCGTGGAGAGCGCGCAGCAGCAGGTGGTGGCGGGCATCCTCTTCCACCTCACGCTGCTCGCCACATCGCCCTCCTCGCGCCGCACGGCGCAGTACAAGGCGACGGTGTGGGAGCGCGCGTGGCAGAAGTTCAAGGCTCTGCAGGCCTTCGCTCCCGTGCCTGACACCGACCGCGCCGCTACTCCTGCCGAACTGCACGCCGCTGGTGGTAGTGCCGCTGCTGCTGCTGCTGCTGCTGAAACGGCTGCTGGGACTGCTGGTGGGATGGCTGGTGGTGGTGATGTTGATAGTGGTGGCGCTGCTGCTGGTGGTGAGGGGGGATGTGGCAACGTGGCGAGGGACGCGGGTGAGGAGGGAGCGGCGGGCGAGGCACAGGGCACATGCAGCAACAGAGATGGGGAAGGTGGTCCTCATTCCATATCAGCTTGCCACATGCGTGCTCGTTGTCTCCCTGCATGCTTGCTCTTCGCACGGGTGCTCTGTCTGTTGGCGCCTAACCAACCAACCAACCACCCACCCACCCACTCATTCCCCCTCGTTCTTGTGGGCCTCGGCCCCTCGTCCCATGTGCGCGCTTACCACTTCGCCCTGCTAGCCATCTTATGACTCGATAAACTCTTTCGCCAATGTATCTCCGCACTACTCATGCGCCCGCTTCCTGCTGCCTCTCTCCCTCCCCTCCTCGCACTTGCCCCACTGGTCTTTGCCTCAGCAATTATTTCTGAACCCGTTCTTGTTTCGATCTCATTCCTTTGTTGTCATATCCTCCTCCAGCGCCTATCGTGAGTCCTCTTTAGCCCCACCCGCTTTCTCCCTCCATGCTCTCCACGTACTACTTACCTTAGACATGCCTTCCCCCTCTTCATTCCCTACCCATCCTGTCCCGCCGCAGCGCATTCATCACCCGCGGTGCTGGAGGCAGCAGAGCGGGCGGTGGCAGCGCTGCAGCAGCGCTCCAACTCGCTCTTCCCATACCGCCTCAAGGAGGTCGTCGCTGCCCTCGCCACGGTACAGTACACACACTGGGGCCAACGCCGCTGCGCTGGGGATGGGGGTGGGGGTGGGGGTGGGGGTTGGTGATGGGGTTGGGGTGGTGGTGGGGGTGGGAGGGGAGATGGGAAGTGTTGCGTGTGAAGCTTGCGTGTGTGAAGGCTGGAGGATCTGACTTCCTTTGTTGTGCAGGTGGAGTGAACAAGTAATAGCAATTTACATGGGTGGCGATAGTTGGTCGTGGTGGTGTGCATGGTGACTGCATGCAGTGGTGCGTGCGTGCTGCTCACTGTTGGCATGCAGGGTTTGCGAGAACCACCCCATGTCTGTCAACTGCATACGGTACATCAATAACTTCTATTCTATCCAAGTCAGCATGAGTGGGATGGGATCGCCTTGTCCGTTGCACACAAGCCTCAACCACCTCCGTCAGAACACTCAGGAAACGGCTAGTTGGTGGTGCCATCTGTATAGGAACCCGTCGTCACCCTGTCTTGCTTGTCGTATCTGCTCACCTCCCTTGACTCCTTGCCTTTGCTGCTCTGTATTGCACCACCCCCCGCACACCCCCTCACCCCCCTTCCTCCCCTCCCTGCAGCCGGCAGCAGCATCACCAGCAGAGCAGGGCACGACGATGTTCCACCTGACCCTGCGCCTGCAGCGCGAGGCGCCGGGCCAGACCCAGGAGCAGCAGCAGCAGCAGCAGGTGGTGGGGGCGCTGGCGGACGAGCTGTATGAGGTGGAGGTGTTGCACTCGCCCAATGGCCAGTGGTCCCTGCGCAAGGCCGTTGCCCTGCAGTGATCATGTGACGGTGTTTCCCCCACTTCCACAGCTGCATCGCCTGTAGTTGCAGCCTCCAGGATTTTGCTGAGTGGAGGTACTGGTAGTACCTACTTGGAAGTTTTTGCTTCCAAGGATTCTGTGTTGAATAACTCGCATCGCATAGCATCGTTGACAACTTGACAGAAATTCGGCTACCGTACTATACAAATTGCCAGCACCAACCTTAGAAGTGCTGTCTCTGTCTTCCCCCTTCTGTCTCAGCTTGCTTAGTGCAAGTCTTCTTTTCCAATATACGGTATTACCTGGAATACATTAGAAAACAAAAACAAGAACAAAACCCACCCACGCAGTTCTACTGGCACTGGCTATGTACCTACATGAGCTTGTGCGCCAACACTACCATCGACCAATGGCCTTCCAAATTGGTCCTTATTTCTAACCAGCTGCAAATCACGCCACCGCTCTGTTAGATTAGGAGAGGACTTAGGAGACTAGGGTATGGGGGCTTGCATGAATGTCGAGAAGGTTGAGCAAAGAAGAGGGGTTCACTATAGAGTTGGAAGTACAAGTAGGCAAGAGCAAAGGGATAGGGTGCACCACCAACGGTTGATTCTAATAGCTAACCAATACACTAGCAAGCTGTAGACAGTTATAAGATATATAATTCAACACGCTCCGGCGGCTCGCCCATAATCCCGTGTGCTGACCTAAACCCTGCAATGCATCGTGGTGGGCGGCCCATATGTGAACCACGGCGAGCTCCGGAAAATGCAGGTGTTGCGAACAGACAGTGTGGGGCACGGCAGGTCAAAATGCAGATGTGTTGGTGGAAAATGCAGGTGTGTTGTACACTAAAATAGGAGCACTGATTTCCTGCTGGTTATGTAGACAGTATTGGTGGAAGTGCAGGGAAGAGTCTACAGAATGCTCTGTGGAGCAGGCAGGCAGTGGAGGGAGAGCAGCACGGGGTGGGGTTGCTCCTAGTGGTGGGCAGGGCAGCACGAACATGAGCATGAGCATGAGCATCAGCAGTGGTGGTGCGAGCAATCGATGCAGAAGAACCGATCCATGCGCTGGTCGTAGCTGCATATGGTGAGCAGGTGCGAGGGGAAGGGGGGAAGACAATCGGGAGAGAAGTGCAGATGAAGGGAGGCAAAGGAAAGGGTAGGATGTAAGTGAACACGGGACCTGGAGAAGGTGAGGGTATTAGCACAACAAGAAGTGGAGCGTTGGCAGGGGATGAGACTTAGAAGGTGCATGCACATGGTGACACATAGGTATCCGCACTTGATCTCATACTTGCAGGATTTTTTTACCGATGGGTAGGCGAGTGAGACAAAAGTTTTATGAGAAATTGGGGCCGGAGAGCAAGGAGGTATACAAGGGGATGAGAACGGAGTGGTTACTTTGTAACGGTGCAGTTGTCGCAGAAGGGTTGATTGCAGGCAGCGCAGACACAGGTGCAGCGGCTGCAGAGAGCATGGCTGCCAGGATGGGCGGGGTGATTGCGATGGGGCAGGGAGTAGAGTCGTCTCTTGGATGCTGCTTGTATTGACGCTATGCGTGTGTGAAGTGTCAGAATCCCAACCACTAGACCATTGAGATAAAAGGACTTGTTTCAATAGCGGGTCAGTGCGCCCATAACCCCCCAGGCAAACGCGCCTGTAACCCCCCCTAGAATCGATCGGGGATCTCACAGTGTAGCTCTACTGACACTCCCCCACACTGGGAGGCCCAGGACTGAGCACAGTGGCAACGGCCAACATGTGCATACACCGGGATTCGAACCCGAGACCGCTCTGATACCATGTCAGAATCCCAACCACTAGACCATTGGGAAAAAAGGGCTTGTTTCAGTAGCGGGTCAGTGCGCCCATAACCCCCCAGGCAAACGCGCCTGTAACCCCCCCTAGGATCGATCGGGGATCTCACAGTGTAGCTCTACTGACATGAAGATGAAGGGGATGTGCATGTGCGTGAGTGTCCGTGTGGCAGCGAGCGGGGGTATGTGCGATAGGCAGGCGGGGAGGGGGGTGTAGAGTGTCAACGGGAAGGGAAAGGAGCTCGGTTGAATTGGGGTTGGTGAGGGTGGGGAGGTCAACTGGGTCATTGTCACCAGGCGCCAGGCTCGCCCAACCACGCATACTCACGGACACTACGCACACTCAAGGAGCACGCCGTACCTGCACCGCATGCACGCTCCGCCACTGTGCGCGGCTGAACTCCCCCCGTCCCCACAACAGCATGCGCGGACTCCGCTGCTGGCTACGCTCCCCAGTCCACCTCCTGCGCCGGCCCGCTCCGCCTGCCCCTGCGCGCGCCTCTGCTGCCCCACTGCCGCGGGCTGCCACCACTGGCGGAGCATACTAGGGCTGGCGGCGGGGGCAACCGCAGGAGGGAAATACTGCGGCGCAAACTCTTCGACTGGCGCAGGTCGCGCGGGATGTTCGGCTGGGGTGTAGATTGGCGCAGTTGCGGGGAGGGCGTGTGCGGATGGCGGAGAGGCGGAGGAAGTGAAGACTGCCCTGGCGCCGTCCTTGAGGCGCTGCAGCGTGCGCGCTGGAGGGGGGGAATGGGGGGAAAGGGGAGCGGGAAAGGCGCGTGAGGCATGGGACAGCTGACGTGGCGTGGCGTGGAGACAGGGCCCGGGGGAGGAGCGGGTGCGGAGGGAACTGGTAGGACAGGGGTACGCGGTGGGCGGTTCGCCGCACTTGGATAGGAGCGATACGGACGGGCAACAATAGTCGGGCTGCTGCGCCTTAGGTCCTTCCTTGGGACGACTGCTAAATTACGCCATGTCGCGAGCATGGGCCCGTGCACGACTGTGTCAGCGCGAACATGCGTACCCCAGATTGCAACCTCGTCGAGCCGCGTGACCTTCTCCTTGCCGCGGTGCGCGAAGGCGGCGTGCGGGTCGTGGCGGCACAACCCGCGCTTGCCCAGCATTGACATGGCGCTGCCTCGATATGCGGGGCCACGCGGACCAGTGGTTGAGTAGTTAGGAAACTAGAAAATTGAGACGGGATAGCGGGAAGCTGGTGGTGTGGTGAAGGGGAGCTCGACTTGCAAGTTGGAATTGTTCAGACGGAATGGATGAGATGAGAAAGACGGCCTTTCAAAATCGAATTTCGAACGTTGAAATATGTAGGGCGCGGTCCACACCACAAGCTCGTTTGAATGTGCTTCAATAAAAAAAATTGACGCTATTACTCAAAATAAAACCAAGTATAGATTGCTTGGAAAATATTTTGAGCACTGCCTGACCTCACTGCCCAATAAAGGTGTAGAGCAATGTAGTAGCTGTAATCTATGATTTTTCTACTGAAGACTAGATACAAAGGGAAAGGCTTGACCATTGTCCACCCAACGTGTGAAGATTTTCCATCTCGAAAAAATGAAGACACTGAGATGTTCTTTGTGTGGTTCACATTCAAATGTTCATATTACAGGAGCGTTATATAGAGACATACTAAAGAGCGTACATATTCTTGTTCTTCCATCTCGAGTTCATCCCCACAGCTAAAGGCAAGCCACCGGACTGCAGCGGTCTATCAGATCCCTAAAGGCCACGGTTAGATAGCTTCGGAGATAGTTTCGTTCTCTTATGCGTTTCGCGAAACCACATGAGCGTCCGCACACCGACAGCGCACAAGTTCGTGCCTGCCCGCTGCGTAAGTTCCCAGTGCGAATCGCTTAGCAACTCCTTCCTGCATAATCGCTTAACCGGCAGGTTCGGTTCGAATGGACGAGCCTCGTCGTCTGGGCAAGGCAATCAACTGGACTGAACCGTTCTGTCACTTCCCCGGAGGCTACGGCCAAAAGCTTGACACTGCTTCGTGTCAAACTATATCTGTGCTAGTTCTATGTAGGCTATAGTGGGGTAGCCCATATGGGGTACAACCCAATGTTAGGGTTAGCACTTGTACCCACAACTCATTCAATGCAGTCATTCATGCTCGTTAGATTCTGACATGGTTTCGGAGCAGTAGGTCCGTAGAACCGTTTTTTTCGGGCCCACCATTACCTAGTGACCGACTTCGGTTACCGCGTTACCCCACGTCTTGCCCTGCGCTGCGCCTATAGCGCGCGCCCTGCCCTGCCCTGCCTTGCGTCGCGCTGCCCCGCGCACACCCTGCCCTGCCTTGCGTCGCGCTGCCCCGCGCACACCCTGCCCTGCCTTGCGTCGCACTGCCCCGCGCACGCCCTGCGCTGCCTTGTGTCGTGCTGCCCCGCGCACGCCCTGCCCTGCCCCGCGTCGCGCTGCCCCGCGCGCGCCCTGATCTGCCCGGCGTCCTGCTGCAGCTCGCGCCCTACTGCCCTGTGTTGAACTATATTTATATATGTTCTTTATAATTGTCTGCAGTGTAGAGTGTAGCACATCCCAATTTGCTGTAGGTGGTGCACCATGCTTCTCCTTGCTATATTTTGTACTCATCTTTCTTAGTGAAGTCACTTATTCCTGCTTCAACTCTCTCGACACCTCCTTCAACCCTAAAACCTAAGCTACTAAGTTACTCTAGCCATGGCTTCTAAGCCCAACTAGCTTAGTATCTTGACATGGTATTCAGAGCAGGCACCTTCCTGCTGCCTTCCTTAACGGGCCCACCAGTCTGCTTCCGCTGCCTGTCATCCTGCCGCGCGCCTCGGGCGCGCGGCGTGCGCACGGCGATTTTCTGCCCGCCGTGTGCTCGGGGCGCATGGCGGTTTTCTGCCCGCCGTGCGCCCCGGGCGCGCGGCGTCTTCCTGCCCCGCGCGCGGCCTGCTCTCACGCCGCCTGTGCGCCTGCCCCACGTCCGCGCGCGGGCCTATTCTGCCCGCCCGTACCCTGCCCTTCGCGGCGCCCTGCAGAGGCGCCGCTCCTGCTCGTCGCGACGCCCCTGCGGGACCCGTGCGTCGCCGCTCCTGCTCGTCGCGACGCCCCTGCGGGACCCGCGCGGCGTTGCCCTGCTCGTCGCGACGCCCCTGCGGGACCCGCGCGGCGTCGCCCCTGCTCATCGTGGCGCCCCTGGGGCGCCGCCCCTGCTCGTCGCGGCGCCCCCTGGGCGCTGTCCCTGCTCGTCGCGGCGCACCCCCCCCCTGGCCGCCGCCTCTGCCTCCCCTGCGCCCGCGCCTGCTTTGCAGCAGCGCGCGGGCCTGCCCTGCACCAGCGACGCCGCCCCTGGAGCAGCCGCCCCTGGAGCAGCCGCCCCTGCAGCAGCCGCCCCTGGCCCCTGGAGCAGCCGCCACTGCAGCAGCCGCCCCTGGCCCCTGGAGCAGCCGCACCTGCAGCCGCCCCTGGCCCCTGGAGCAGCCGCCCCTGCAGCAGCCGCCCCTGGCCACTGGAGCAGCCGCCCCTGGCCCCTGGAGCAGCCGCCCCTGGAGCAGCCGCCCCTGGAGCAGCCGCCACTGCAGCAGCCGCCCCTGGCCTCTGGAGCAGCCGCCCCTGCAGCAGCCGCCCCTGGCCCCTGGAGCAGCCGCCCCTGCAGCAGCCGACCCTGCAGCTGCCCGCGACGCCGCTCCTGGACCGTGTGCAGCCATGGGGGGAGGGTATGGGGGTGGCGGGTGTGGGGGTGATGAGTGTGGGTGCTACCCTTCCCCTCCTCCTCCTCCTACTTCGTCTCCCACTGCTGCTGCTGCCGCTGAAGGGGGGTGGATGTGTGGGAGCCGAGGGGAGTGGAGCTAAGGGGGTGTCGTGGGAGTGGAGACAGGGGTACAGCAAGGGGGTGTGTGAGAAGGGGGTGTGGGACTGTCAGGGGAGGTAGAGCGGAGGTCGCCGTCGTGTCGTCAGCAGCGCCAGTAGTCCGGAGCCCTCGTGCTCTCGGTAGCCCAGCGAGCCTACTTCGCCAGTCGCCAGTGAGTCCGTTGCTCCTGCCGCTTGTCGTAGCCGCGGAGCCAGATAATCCCGTAGTCCGGTGCCCTCGTGCACTCGGTAGCCACTGTGCGCGCCGCTCCTGTTGCCCGTGTGACTGCGGCTTCACCTGTCGCCTCCTATCTCCACTCCTCTCACAGTCCCTCCTCCTCCTCCTCCTCACTTCGCCTCTTCTTCTGTTGCGCCCTGCAGGGTGTACCACTTCAGGGGGTGTTCTGTACATGGTTCTCACTGTAATCAATTAGGGGGTGTGTTGAACTATATTTATATATGTTCTTTATAATTGTCTGCAGTGTAGAGTGTAGCACATCCCAATTTGCTGTAGGTGGTGCACCATGCTTCTCCTTGCTATATTTTGTACTCATCTTTCTTAGTGAAGTCACTTATTCCTGCTTCAACTCTCTCGACACCTCCTTCAACCCTAAAACCTAAGCTACTAAGTTACTCTAGCCATGGCTTCTAAGCCCAACTAGCTTAGTATCTTGACACCCTGCGCGTCGCGCCCTGCTACAGCCCGCACGTCGCGCCTTGCAGCCTTGCGCGTCACGCCCTACTGCCTTGCGTGTCGCGCCCTATGTCTGCCCCGCGTGTCGCGACCTGCTGCAGCCAGCGCGTCGCGCCCTACTGCCCCGCACGTCGTGCCCTGCTGCAGCCCGCGCGTCGTGCCCTAATGCCCCGCGCGTCGCGCCCTGCTGCAGCCCACCGTCGCACCCTGCTGCCCCGTGCGTAGCGCCCTACTGCAGCCCACGCGTCGCGCCTTGCAGCAGCCCGAGCGTCGCGCCCTCCTGCAGCCCGCGCGCCGCGCCCTGCTGCCCGCGCGTCGCGCCCTACTGCAGCCCGCGCGTCGTGCCCTGCTGCCCTGCACAGCATGCGCCCTGCTGCTCGCGCCGCCCAGGCCGAGTCGCGCCGCCTAGCACGAGCCGCCCTGCCCAACCCGATCCACCCTGCTGCTGCTGTTACTGCTGCTGGAGGTACTGCTAGGAGTACTGGAGGTGCTGCAGCCTAGCCTCGCCGAGCCGCTCTGCTGCTCTTACTACTGCGGCTACTACTCGTGCTACTGCCTTCACTCCGTACTGCCCTAGATGTCACGCTCCTCCTAGCTTGCCCGCCATGACTTCACTTTGCAGCAGCAGTGGGAGTGGTGCCGGCGGTGGTGGCAGCAATGGGAGTCGTGGCGACCGTAGTAGCAGTCACTGTGGCGCTGTTCGGTGCGGAGTTTCTGGCGGTGGCCAAATGTAGCTACAGCGACGTCCGACCCTTACACCCCAGCAGCTTCGTGAGTGGCTGTACTAGCGTGGGACGTCTCCGAGTCGTGGTCGCTGCCCGTACGTCATTCGCACAGGTCGTCGACCTGGTCAGACCTGTGGGACAGCTGGTCACGCACAGTCCCGCTGCTTCTCCTATTTGAGTGACGCCTGGCACGCAGAGTTTGGAGACGAGACTGAGATCCCCCACTGGCTTGAGCTGCTTAGGTCGGGCATTGATGTCTTTGCTTTAGACTATGACGCCATCCTTACTGCCATGTATGCTTTGCCTGGTGGTGCTGAGGGTGACTGTTACCTGTGTGTGCAGCACGAACCCAGTATAGAGGTTACTGCTCTAGGTCCTAGTGATGCTGCTGCCTTAGGTGCTAGAGAGTCTGCTCTCTCAGGTACTGCGCCTACTGAGGCCTTGCACACTTTCACGCTTGACTCAGGTGCTTCCCACTGTT